TACTTAAGAGCTGAATACGAGATGCGTTTGGATAGTTGGAGATATGTTCTTGCATTTAATCTAAACTTTGCTTCACATTTGGACAGTTGAACTTTTCATTGTAATATACTAAATAAATATTCAATATTTATTATTTACAAGCTGTAGGGCTGTTACCTTAACTATAACCACATTTTTTTTTAAACAACAAAATTCTAAAAAAATTCTTTTTTTGCATTAGCACCATATAAAGCTCTTATCAATCAAAACCTTTAAGACAATCAGGAAAGCATATAAATTTTGCTCAGTATAGACTTCTTTATTTTGTAAATATATTATATAGCACAGCTTGAAGAGCTACACACGCTAGAACTTTAGCAGCAATATTTCAACTTCAGTAAATTTAAAACATTACCTCCTCCAGCATTTCAAATCCAATCACCTGGTCGCTGCCCACGCTGCAACTCTATAAATCGAGACAAACCTCAGCACATGCAGCAATTGATGTCAGTCCCATTGATTTATGACAACATAAAAATTTGAGACACAAACACACGCAATAAGCAATAAGGGGGAATTGGAAACTCGAAAGACAGACGCAGGCGTAAAAGTGTGAAAACTCATTACACGCACACAAATTGTTTATAGATGGAACGTTTAACCGATGCGTGCGATGGCAAACGACATGGGAACTGCCACGATGCCGCCCACGCACAACAACAAGCGGGAGATACTCGGATTCCTTGGAAGCCCATTCTCAAGCGCTTAGCATATGGGGCAACTGCATAATGCCCAAGACGCATTCATCAGTCAAATGGGCAGACAGCAGTCCAGACAATCGTCTGGCCAATGAGTCAGTAGCCACTGGTGGGGGGACTCGGGAGTTGCCTGCCCGTCGTCAGTGGGTTAAGTTAGACGTTTTGTGCAAGTCATGGACGGCGTTTGTGCGGAGAGGGGAGAAACTCACTCAAATGTTGGCGTTGCATTCAATTTACTACAGACAATTGATTGTTTTCCCTTTTTTCCATCCATTTTTTTTTTTTTTTTTGTTGCCGCAAGCAACAAAATCAACACAAATTGAAAACGATTATCAATATGTCTGGCCTGTCAGGCGGCTCAGGGGGTGGCATCCCATTCATACATATATGTGTGTATGTGTTAGCGGTTGGTTTGGGAAGTTCAAGCCGCGAGCGCGCGAAAAGCTAACAAAAAACGCAAAGGGCCCCAGACAAACAAAGCATATAGCTATAACAACAACAACAACAAAAACGCAACAACAGCAAATGCCGACTGATAAATGGGCAGCCAAAAACAGCGAAGTTGGAAAAATAGACAACAACAAAGCTGAGGGTGGCCGCAGCAGCGCCGTCGGGGGCGTGTAGGTTACTAGGCATCTCTGGGGCACACTTCAATGTTGTTATTGCTGCAATTGTTATTTTTACGCTACTACAATGGGGTACAATCGATTTCTCTCTTTGTTGTCAAAACATTTGCTGTGGGCCAAACTCATTGAGAGTCTGGTATCATGCAGTTCCTTACAAAAATATTTATATTAATTATTTTTAGGCTTTACAGCAATTAGTTTCTGGTCAAAATGGCTTAGCTGTATCGTAAAATATTTTTAAATATATATAAATCTTGACATTTTTATGACAGACCTTAGCTTTGACACCATATATAGTATATTTTAAAATACAATTCGCTTTTTGTTTAAATATAATAATAAAGAATTCAACAAATTATATTTACAACAATGTTAACAATGAATAATTATATTTTAGCATTTTTGTGACATTTCATAGTGTATTTATGCTTCAGCGTTTCGTTCAAAACTGTTCCTACTTAATTTTAGAGCTACAGCTCCAGCTGCTTGTTGTTGTTGCACAGTCGGCCACAAGCCTCAATGCAATTTGGAGAAATATGTTGAGGGTCCATCCAGGCTGTTTTTAGAGGGTGTGAGCTGTGTGTACTGTGGAGTGTACCGTAAACGACGATGCCCCAACATAGCTCAACAATGTAAATAAAATGTTTCGTAAAATAAATAGTTTTCAAAACCATTAAAATCAAGGAAAAGAAAAAAAAAGTCCAAGAACAACAAGATCGAAAAAAATTTTGGAAGCCGTGAAGCTGCGATGAGTGGGTCTGTGGGCCTTAAAGACCCAGGCGCGAAGTTTGCGGCATTAAGTTTTCAACATGCTCAGCAAATTGTTTAATGGCCCTGCACACCCCTTTTGCCGTAGACTACGCCGCCACCTAGAAACACGATGCCGTAGAAAAATATATGGTATAAACAGAAATGCCAGAGATGTACTTTTTTTTTTGTCTGTGCAAGCAAATTGAAAACTAGCAAACAGAAATAACTCGACATGAAACTTTAGAGACATGTGTTATTAACCAGAAAATACATGAGCGTGGTGTGAGGCAAAAGAGATGCCAGCCAGCCCGGGCGACATGCATAAATATTTGATGTAAATTGAAAAGTGCATGCCACATATATTATTTTTCTGGCAACCTTCGGGCAAAAGTATATGAATATCTAAAGATACAGAAATAAATATATGCTGTTATATATATATGTATAGGCAGTGGCAGAGGCAGAGTTGTATGACAAGCAATAACAAACGGACAAACAAACAACAACTGAAGCAAAAGTTTAGCTAAAGTATTTATGCCACAGAACGGAAAGCAGTCGGCAGAGTTTGCTGCGGTCGCTGGCGGAGGTCACATGAACAATTGAGAAGGAAATTAAACAAGTTTGGCTAACGAAGAAAGCAAAGTTTTTTGCGCGCCTTTAAGTATGCAGCAATCCACGCAAACAAACAGCAGCCACACACAAAAAAAAAAACTTCTGCCTAAGCGACATTGCAACTAGCGAGTGGTAAGAGCAGCAGCAGCAGGAGCTGCTGTGGCAAGGGGGTTTAGCATTGTCATGCCATGCCTCCTAGCTAAGGCACGTTGCGGTGCCGCTTGTGCTGACTCTGAAACTCTCCCGTTCTCTAGCTTACCCTTGCTCCGACCGGGCTAAACTTTTTGAATCAATTTAAGTTCTGACATTTTAATGATAAATTTGTAACAGAGGCAAAAAACAAGGCCAAGAATGCGCCCAGACATTGTTGTTGGCCTGTCTAACAGCTTTCAGTTACCAGTTGCCAGTTTTCTTCCTAACTGATGCTGTTTATTCTTGCTGGCTACATTGTATTCTGCTGTGGCTGAGTTAGAAAAATGTTCTTTTTGAATTATTGCAAGTCTCTTGGAGTGGTTTCTGATGCCAGCTGTTGGAAAACTTTCACCTACATAAGTGATATACATGGCAAAAATGATAAACTAAGCCCAGCGCTGTCTAAAAAGTGTTATGGCTGTAATATTTTTGTTTAAATTAATGCATTGCTTTGGTAGTTCTCAAACTGAAACCATTACAAATGTAACTGTTTACATATTTTGGATAATACGCTTTGTATCCAGACAACGTTCAAGCTTGCCAAAATAAAAATCTTCCAAACTTTCAGTTCTGTTTTTACGTCCTATTTTATGCTGGCTGCGTTTCTGGCGCACACGTGTTGGTAAATGTTTACAGAGACCACAAGAGCATGGCAAATATTGTAGCTCATCCAAACCCCATTATTGACTCATTTGGTTGGGCCATAAAGCGCCGGAAAGTATGTTGTCATTATTTCGGTGACAGCCGCAGCCATTTGCAATTAAAGTAAGCCACATATGCAGTTAATGGCTAAATCTACACACACACACACGCACATAGATGCGCACCCAGATACAGTTATACACCCTAAATTACAAACTTTGTATCTATTGGCAAACGTTTGCGGCTTCCCTTTATTTGCAGGTTTATCAGCATTTTGTTTACTTTACATTCGAGATGCCAACAAAATGAATTGACAACTGTCAACAACTTTATAGATAGCAAAGACTGCTGTTTGTGGCTGGTGGAGGGGGCGTTGGCTAAGTCTTTTCATATGAAATGTAAACTGAGCTTGCCATCAATTAGTTTTGAAAGATAAATTAAAATTGAAAATTGAGAAAATTGAATAGCCTTTGTTGGCTATTCAATGCTCTTACAAAGAAATTTTGTGCTAAAGAGTTGCCTGGAATACTATAATGAAAATATTGATTTAAATAAAACTCCTGTTGTCAATTCTCTCCCTTCGCTCTGCGCTTTTCAAAAATGTATGTGGGGAAAACAAATATCTTGATATTTTCTTTTAGTGCTTTATCCCATTCAAGAGTCTTATTTTAGTAATAAATTGGCCCTTTGCTCAAACATAACTAACAAGTTGCCGTTCCCTCTTTTATAACAAAGCAATTGCTATTTGTTTACTATTTATAAAAAAAAATATTTATTTAATGTGATTCCATTTAATTATTGCAGATAAGACGGCCCAGTCAATGTCTGATAGTGCAGCAACTGAAAGTGGGTCTCTCATATGACTGATAATGGCAGTCAACGCTGCTTGCTACAGCAACAACAAAAACAACAACAACAACCACAACGACAGTAGTAGCAACAACAACAACAAGGGAAACGGCAGCAGCTACGATGGCCAAGCAAAATGAATATTTGAAAATTTGGAAACATATCAAATGGCGAATTGAAAAGTGAAACCAAAATCGAAAAGTGAAAGGAAAAGAGAAATTCCACAAAAGAAAAAGACAGAAAACAATTAATACATTTTTTACGCCGGGTACTTAATAGTTGTTGAAATTAACAAGTGCCATACGCGAGTGTTGAAATCGAGTTTATATAGATATTTAGTTCTAGAACCTATTCCAGCTTACGAATAACACATATCCCAAAAGCAACGCTGCCAATTAAAGAGCAATCTATAAATATCTATAAATATATATATATATATATATATATATATATATATATATATATATTAATTTATATAGACTTGTAGTTAACACCACCGAGCGGAAGTCCAACAACAATATGACAATATCAGCAACAGCAGCAGCAGCAAGAACAACAACATCTACACCAGCAACAGGAACAGCATCCACAACAATACACAACATTGCAAATCGCTTGCCTGGCAAATCGCTGAAATATGAAAAACTCATTAAACAGCCGCAAATGCAGTCGGGCACGACGAGCGTGACCGCCACCCAAACGGATGCGGATGCCCATGGTCTTGGGACTGCGGACCCATTCGTCGATTGCGGCCATCTCAATAAGCATTTTGCCAATGGCCATGCCACGCCCCCTGACCTGCACACAGCCAACATCACAACAGATCGCAGCATGCTGCTGCCGCCGGAGCATACAGCCAACGGGTTTCTGGCCAGCGGCATTGTCACGTACAAGGCGAAAATGAATGGCGGCAGCTACGACTTCAACTCTACCTCATCAACGACTATTGGCAGTGTGAGCGGTGCTGGTGGCGGCGGTAGTGGTGCTGGTGGTGCCGGCTCATCCATTGCCAGTTCGCTTTGCCATTGTTGTAATTTAATTGCACGCCGCTGCATTGGCATCAATGTGCGACGCTGTGTCCTGGCGCTGTTTGCCATCACCGTGGTCAGCATTTTCTACTACACGCATTACGTGGGCACCGACGTGTTCGATGGGTGAGTAGCGCCAGTCCAATTTCTAAAAACCGCACAGTCTGACCCAACAATCTCCGTGCCTCTAAAACGAAAATCATTTTTATTGTGCTCGAGTGCCGATGGACGCGAGTGAGAATGTGGATGTGAATATGAATGCACTTCCATCTCCGCATTTGCAGTGGTGCCTTGCTTCATTGTTTGTTGTCTAAGCAATTGCTTTAATTTTATTTTTATTTTTTTAATTCTGCAAAAGTGACGCACGGGAATTCTTTTCAATATGCTGCAAATTTGATTAACAGGTGAATGTGCGTTGCAAGCACTGGTTTGAGTATTTTCAGTTCATTTTTTCCTCGATTTTCATTCCATTCTATTCATGACGTATTGCCGCATTGTGTTGCGCTTGAAAGTTGCAATTGCACAACAAAGAAAAGAAATTGTGCAAAATTATTCATGGCAAATGTTGTTTGGCTTTGCAATTGCGGGTGAAGTACTGGAACAAAGGAGATTTAAACATCTTAAGACTACCTTAAAAAATGTTTCATCTGCAGTACTTAAGTTGCGTTTGCTTGCTAACAAGGTCTTAAGCTTAAACAGGGGGAGCAGGAGAAGATTAACTTGCAGCAGTTTCTAAGGAATTAACTTATAATATAAAGCGGATTTCTTTATATTTTTTTTTGTATTCAGAAGCAAAGCACTTATTGACAATGCTTGTGATATTTCTAATGCTACCTGTGCAGAGTTTGACCTTTAAATCCTCTTAAATCTGTCTATTTGTCAGTGATTCACAATTCGTTTAACTCCATTTACGAACTACGTAGAAAACACAATCTTAATACATCACTAAAGAACCTTTGAACAATAAAAATCGATATATATATATATTGTTGTGTATTTTCTGTCCACTTTAATCCCTTTTTAGTTTTACCGCATCAGCTTTTGTGGGCTGCAGCCTTCTCTGCGCTTCTCATTTCGTCAAAGTGGTCGCTTAGGGCTTTAAAACGTTTCACGTTTGTTTTAATCTTTTATAGATAAAACTTGTTAAGGTGTAATTCCACTTTCGTGTATTATTCAGTGCAGCTAAAACTTTTAACTAGTAAGTTTTTCTTTTGTTGCCCAGCAAAATCATCTACGATTTTTATGTGACTTGTTTTTAAAGTTTCACCCTCAACGATCTCCCCTTCGACACAGTCGAGCCACGGAAGTTTACACCTTTGGTTAACTCAGTACTCGAGAACTTATTAAAAGTTCGTACTGTTTGCAGGCACGTAGCTATTTCGGGATTGGATAAAAATACTCGTATTTCTCATAAATTATAATTGCGCGCATAACTAAGAAAAAACAGACTTTTAAAAGGTTTTTCGGTCTTTATTTTTCGCACAATTTTTCCCCTTTATTTGTGGCTTGGCCCTTATTTTGTATTTTAATTTGTGAAAATTTTGCACAGCTGGGGGCGTGGCAGTTGGCCTTACTTGCCCGTTAGCTACTTTTGCGCGCAATTATGGTTAACAAACATTTGGAGGAAAAAGCGCCCGCAGCTCCTGAGTAACGGCAAAGTGCAACACGCCTACAGTTGCACAAACAACGGACAAAGTTTTGATTACTTTCATCAGTAAGTGAAGCAGCAGCAGTAGCAGCAGCAGTAGCAGTAGAAGTGGCTGCAGGTGCTGCCGAGTCCTTGACTTGGTTTTTAGTGAAATTTTTGCATGCTAACTCTTCGTTCTTGATTCAAAAACTTATTTGTTTTGCCCAAAGCCAGTTGATTATTAAATATTTACTTGGCTAGTGCACTTTAAATTTAATTTACGAGCTTAACTGCGGCAAAGTTCATTAGTTATTCAAGTGGGCGCCATCCATCAGAGAGTTAAAACAGCAAAACTAGCAGACCACAGCAGACCAGAGCAGCAGGGCAAAGCAGCAGCTGCACAAAGGATGTGGCAATTAAAGAGGCTCAAGTCAAACTACTTGTGTGTAAATTCTAGTAAATTTTAATGAATTCAAATGCTTTCGAATCTCTGCTGTGCGTGTGTGCGTGTGCTTATATCCTGTATGTCCTGTTCATGTCCATGTCCAGACGTCCGTTACGTGCAAAAAGCGGAAACATGCGACGTGCCAGCCGCTGCCAATGCCGCCTGCTCTCTGTGGCTGGCCCCCGGCGACAGGCAGCCGCCAGTTACTGATGTTCGTGTTTGTTTATGCTGTCTGTCATTATTTGCACACACACTCACACGCACACACACACACACGACCCACATGCATTTACATATGCAGCAACTACTTTGTTCTATGCTGTTGTTTTTGTTACTCTTGCAGCTGTCGTTGTAGGTGCAAAACGCATTTTGCCAAAATGCAAACATACGTGATTTGCATGCAGTCATAACACGAACTGACACACACATACACACACACACTCATACGCACAGTCGCCTGACAGGCTGCAATAATTGATTTGTAATGCTTACAATGTAAAATAGCCGACAAAAATGTCAATAACGTTATGTCGCCTGCGTTCTGTCTTACTTGAAGCAGAAAAAATACAAGAAATTCAAAAATATGTAATGGCATTTTTAAAAAGTTGCATAAACAGCTTGCACAAATAATATAACATCATGAATCTGTTAAAAAAATCTAATGAAATGAAAGTTTAACGGAAAGCACCAAATAAATAAGAAATCAAAAATCCTTTATAAAAGTTAAAAGTTTTGTTGACATGTGAACGCAAAGGAATTTCGAATACAATTTTGCTGTAGATACCAAACTTTCTGCCTACGATAACTATATATATTTATTTGTCTTCTATAAAGAAATATTTTGAATACCTCCCTTCAAATTGCATATCCTAATTATACTTAAATTGTGAACAATTGCCACACTCAATACTTATTTTAACCAATTTTTATTTAATTGCGTGTGTTTTCTTTTACATTTGTCGCCTGTAAACATGGCATATAATCAGTTCACCTGGATATATATATATATAAAGTTGCATGCGTTATTTGCTTTGCGTGTTATGTGCGATAAATGCAATTTGATGCTCGAGCTTTGCAGCGTACAAATGAACGCCTGAGAGTGGGGCATGGAAGGCGTATTACAGCCTTAAACACTAATTAAATGCGACACTAAATGCGCGTCTTGATAATAAACACATAAATTACTCTGCCAGTTCTGTGAATTGAGCAAATATTTAACTACACAGCCTAACTGCGGTGTGCGCGTGTGTGTGTGCGTGTGTGAGTTGGGTGCAACATGACGTATGCGTCATAAAATCCACGTTGCGTGCATTAATTGACTAAACATTTAAATTGAAAATGCGATTATAAGTGACAATTGCCACAGGGCTTTAAAGCATGTGTGTGTACGTGTGTGTGTGTGTGTGTGTGTGAATTGAAAAAGTGATTACATATGCCAGGTGCAGGCAGCAACAATAATAACAGCAACAACTGCGCCCCCATTAGCAATCGCTTGCGGATGACTTTCATTAAACCAGAGCCAAAGTGCTGGTCTAGTGGTTCAGCCTCGTGTCAACTGTCATTGAAATGCAATAAATAATTACGTTTATTTGCTTTAAATGCAATTACAAACAAACAAACAAACAGACGGAGGACTCGATCCGGTCTCGTGTCCTTTTGCTGGCCGTTTTGCATATCCTGACGCATCATGCTGGTCGTCGTCGCCATACTGGCCGCCATTTTGCCCAGAACGCGTTTACAGTTCATTTGGCCAACTGCGCTGCCAGCTTGCCCCAGCCAACGGCCTCAGCTGGCATTTTCCCACTCATTTCCGTTGCAATCCAATTGAACTTGGCTTGCTTGATTTATTTAATTAACATTTTTTTTTTGTTCTCACTTTTCGGCGAATGCCAATAAAATTGGCCGTGTCTGCACCGCAAACGCTTTTTTATATTTAAGCATTGGTGCTTTATCAATTGCTTGAGCTTCGCCTTTCTTTGTGCTTTCCATTGTGTTTAAGTGGCTGCAGTTTTCCTTTATTGGGCCGAGCAAGGAAGAGTAAAGAGTAAAAAGGAAGTGAATGACTTACTAGCGAAGCCATGGCATATTGAAGTGCCATTAATGCGAATCATGAGCACAACTCAAGTGTCTTTCAGAAGAATTAACTTTCATTTTATTTTACAGAAAAAAAAATTTTAAATTTACATCTTCATATTATTTTCTTTTCTGCTTTCCTTATACGAAATCTAGGGCAAAGTTATTCAATAACATATGCAAGGGCTTAACTTGTTATAGTTAAGACTTCCCAGCATGCTAACTATTAAATTTCTTTTTAGAATGACATTCGTACCCTATTTCAAATGTGGTTTCAAGCGAAGCGCTTATTGAAATGTCGCCTCTCTTTACGCTTCTCAATTTATACAAATGGTCGCATTGTCTTTGTATTCTATTCCTATTTTTGCATTTACCGCGCTGCTTTTTGCTTTTTGTATATTTCAGTCATTTTTTCTCAGTTCAGGGGGCGTATTCTCTGATAGCTATGGCGCACATATCCTTGCGCTAGTTTCCCCCTTTTTATTATGCTACGTTATCCCAGCTGCATTACGTATGCGCTCCGTTGGCCGCGTCGCACTTTGCGGCTGCTGCATTTGCTACTTTGCAAATTTATTACAAATTTTTACATACGATTTATTGTTTGAGCGTGCCGCCCTTTCTCAGAGGGACTGTGGCGGTTTTCTATTATGCTCGAGGCGTGGCTATGGCTGTGGCCTTAAAGCTGGCCACATAAAATGTTACTGAATTGTGTGCCCCTGTCTGCTGTTCTGGGTGCGTGGGCAAAAGTGTGGGTTTATGCGCTCACGGATTTCAATAAAAGCTGCTCGTATGGTGTCTTAAACTTGACTAATAAGTTTTGGCCATGATGATTGCTGCCGCGTGTTATTTCAGTTGCTGGTCCGTTGACAGTGCAACATTTGCGTGTTGCTGCCCTGCCAAGTTTGTTGCACGCTCGCATAAATAACACGTCGCAAATGCATAAACTGACTTTTTCTTGCCTAATTTATGCAACACAAAAGACGAAACTAGCGCCACACCCAACAGCTCTACCCTGTCTGTTATAGCACACGGCCAAGCGAATGAAACGGAAACGGAAATTTTGTGCTGTGCACAAATAAATCAGCGAACAGCGTCTGAAAAGAGGCCAGGTTGAGCTGACTGTTTGGCCGTTTCGGCCGCCTGTCTGCTTGGGCTCGCCTGCTGGCATGCCACGCAAATGTTGCACGAAATGCAAACAAGGCAGTGCAACAAGAATTTCTTCATCATCATTGTGCAGCACGGCACCAAAGAGCCCATAGCCAAAAGGCGCTTAAAAAGTAAAGCAAGAGGTTTTTTTTTATGTCTGGTGACATATAGAACACCCTGCAAAACTTTTAGCTGCTTTGAATAACAAAAATGATTTATTTGTAGCTGCCGAGCACATTTTCAAGTGGTCTGATCTTATTAAAAATAAGTTTTAGGGCAAAAGCTCATTAACTCTCAAAAGCTTTTGAATTTCTCTGAAAGACTTTATTCAGCAACTTCAGTTAAGCAAGCTTTACGCTAAAAGCATCTATCTATAGATATACTTTTTGTTTCACCCAGCATTTTTTTTTAAATTTTTTTTATAATTCATTTCAAAGTAGACAAAGTTTGTACAAGCAAAATATATGTTTTACATGCTCAGTTTTGGTAGTCAATTGGTAAAGTTTATTATATCTAACATCTGCTTAAGTCGAGTGCTCCTCAGGCAGTTGCCAAATGCCTGCTTGATTTATAGCTTCTAAAATATCTTATGTTGCACCTGCACGAGCTCAATTGTGCAAGGTGAGATTATAGGGTATTTGAAAACGAAAAGTTTGTGTCTGACATTTTTGGGTGCGCTCTATTTATACATATTTGTACACTCCATGTGGGTGTGTGAGCTGTTCGGTCTGTGTGTGTGTGCTTGTGAGTATTTGCTATCTAAATATTTTGTTTTGCCAGCGCCAAAGTTTTGCCAGCTTTGCCAGTGGAGGTCCTGCAACGGGGCCATGTTGCTTGCTGCCAGGCTCGTTTTGTCCTTCCACTTTGCCGCATGCTAAAAGTATTTACATTTTTCATTCCGAGAACTAGAAGGCAGGCAGGCCTCTTCTGGCCAAAACGGATGCTTGGCCAAATGCCTTTGCAATGCATTTGGGCTTGGCCTAATAGGTTTTTGTTAATTTTGGGGGATTTTACTTGAAATGGGCTCAAAGGGCTCCAACACATGTTGCCGCTTTTGCTAAGCGCTGCCTGTTGTCGTTTCAGTGTCCGCAGCTTGTGAACGGGCTGGAGCCAAGTTGTAGGATATGTGAAAATTGCATAAGACCCATATAATAAAATGCTTTACCGCTGCCAAATGGATTATAAATGAAAAAGAAAAGTTGCCCAGGTCAAAGGTGAGGCCAGAGTTGGACTATGAGTTAGTTGAAAAAGTACTGAATACCTGCAAAAACTTTGGCTTCACAACTCTAACCGAATGGATAAAGTTTAAACTAATGTATGAATGAGCCCACGCCAACTTTTTACCCTCTTAGACGACAGCTCAGTTTTCAGCTTGTTGTTGGCTTGTTAATGAGCCCCATTGGCGCCTCCGAAGCGCGCAACGCAGCGAAAACAATGCAAATGAAGATATGTATACCACACGGCAACAACAACAATAGTAACAACAATAACAATGTTGCCTTATTGTATTGACAGCAGCTGCTTTTCTTTCTTTGTCTTTGGCTGTCGCAGTTTGCATATTGCGTATACGCAGCGTTGCTGCGGCTTTCAATTCGCCTGCCTGCCTGCAACAGGAAACTTGCCACATATTATTTGTGCAACCAATTTCTCGTTCTTCTTGCTGCTGCTGCTGCTGCTCTTGCATTATATTCGCTTGTTTGCCATGCGGCTTTCCTTAAGCTTTTTAAAGAAAGCTCCTTTAGCATTAGCGATATGTGACATAAGCTGTGCGGTGGCTTTTGTCTATATATCAGGCAAATGCTGTGGAAAATATGAAATGTAATATATAGCATACTTGGCAGCATTAACTAATAGTTCTTTCTCTCTATTTTTTCAGGCTCATTCAGCGTGATACTCATCCGGCGCCCATAATCAACTGCCGAATGATAAACTCAGCTGGCAAACACATACGTGATGCCTCACCAGCGCCCGATCATCGTTCCGAGGCACGTCTACGCATCGATCCCAAGGTGTTGGTTTTTGTGGAGACAACGTACTCTGGTCTGGGTCGGGACATTGCCGAGCTGCTGGTCTACAATCGGATCAAGTAAGTGCTATCAAAGAGGAACCATAGACAATTAGCTACGACAAATTTGCATAATTGCCGAAGGCAACGATGCAATTATTACGCCAAAAGTAACTGCAAGCGGAAGTGCCAGCGTAACCGACACCAGAAATGAATTGTGAATGCAGCTAAGTGCCAAGTGGCCGGAGCACCAGCTGGGGCAGAATGCCAGATGGCTAGCCCAAGCTGCCATCTATCTCAGCTGCCTGCAGCGTTCTCTCTTTATGTCCGTCTGTCCCTTTCTCTGCGTCCCTGGCTATTGTCAATGTTGACCCAATTTGGGCAGCTAGCCATAAAAAGGCAGGTTATGAAATTAATGCCTCTCTCTGTGCATCTCTGTCTGGTAGCCGGAGGAGGAGGAGGAGGAGGAGCAAGCAAAGCATTCGAGTTTAATTGGCAACTTATGCTTTTGTTGTCGAGTGGCCCCCAGCCTTTAGCTTTTCGGGCAACCGGAAGCCACAAGCGTCATGTCTATTTTTTAGTCCTTACGCCCAGCCTGCACCTGCTCCAGGTTGCACTGCCCACTCAGCAGTTTTGCTTGGCAGCTCTTAACTGATGTGTCATACTCTGCCTGGTTGAAGTTCAACCAGCTGTTTCCTGAAGCTGACGTAGCTGAAAACTCAAGATCAGCTCAGCTAGATGTGCCCAATAGTTATGGAATCATTCAGAGCATAAGCAGTTTAAAATATTTCCATTACTTTTATATTTTATCGCATTCGGACCAGCTTTTAAGCTGCCTGTTGGGCGAGTTGTGATTATATGTGAATACTTGTGGCTGGCACGAGCTAGAAGGAGCGTGGCTTAACTATTTGTAAACCCATTGTTAAGAGCATGTAAGCTTTGTTTTATGCTATTATTCCAATTACGGCAGCCTCCCCTCAACCCACATCTCAGCTGCAGTCTGCCTCTTTTGCCTGACAGGCACAAAAAGCAATTCTTTAGTCCGGGCATGCTTTGTTTATCCTGCTGGCCGCAGTGACCGCAGGATGCAACCTCCTGCGAAACCGCAATTATAAAACATGCCGGGTAGCTGGGTGAGGTGAGGTTGTGTTGTGGATTGGTGGGAGTTGCCATGACGTTGCCATACCAACTTTTCAATAACGTTTTATTTTATTTTATTTCCTTTTATTTTCACACTTTCGACTTTGAGCACGAGAAATTAAGGGCACGTGTGCAAATTGCGGTTATAAGGCACTAGAGAAGCTAAAAGCTGAAACTGTAGCTGCCGCTTTGCCCTGGGACGGAGTCACAAGTCAAAAGGCTAAAAAATTTTCAATTTGCTGCTGCCTTTTGTTGATGTTGTCGGTACTTTCTCTCTACAGCTACCCACAGTTCAACAGCTTTGACTTGCTTTGTGTTATATAATTAAATTTTCGTCGTTATGCCAAACTAGCTTCAAGGATGCCTCTGCAGATGTCAGACAACTGCTTCAGCTCTAATGAGATTTCAAGTACAAATAGCAAGAGTCAACCCAAAGTCACTCAGTCAGTCAGTCGCACCGCCTCTTCGCCCTGCCCCATTCCGCCAACAATTGTCTCTCGCCCATTGTCTGAACGCGCTATAACCGAATATGCAACAACGAGTCTTGCTGCTTCAAAAGCTAATCAGTGCGCTCATGTGTGTGTCTTTGAATGTGCGCGCCTGTGTGTGTGTGTGTCTGTGTGTGTGACTTGTTGTGCGCTTATCAATGACTTCATTAGAGCTCTTGACTTCAGCCAGCGCCAGGACTCGCCTCGGTTTGGTTGCAAAACTTTGCCAAAGCTGGCAACAAATTTCATTAACATTACCATCTCATTACTGTTGATGATTTCTCTGTGTGTGCAGCAGTGTGAGTGCATGTGGGTGTGAGTGGGTGGGTGGGTGGTGTGTGTCTGAAGTGGCAGTAGCGTCATATGCATAACAGAAGCAGCCCATACAATGCGGCAGTATAAGTTTCTTGCCACACATACACACACACACACATACACACTCGCAAGCAATCAGCGCTGTGTCCAGGCTGCTGCATTGCCATATTTTATGCGCGCTTGTGTCTCTGTTTGAGTGTGTGTGTGTGCGTGTATGTTGCAGGTGCTGCAATGCTTCTACTTAATTATCAATTATTTATGTGCGCGCCAGCAAATTGTGCCCAAGATGCCACTCAATTAGCCATGAAAAATTCACTCGCTGACTTTCACGTGTGTAACGCACGCTGTGGCAGCATGCTTGCTGCCATTGCCACTCACTAGCTCGTTTTCAACTATTACACATAAAGAGCTGGCTGCGCATCCTGTCCGGCTAATTGTTGCAAGCTCTGCTTCATACCACACACCTCTGTCACACTTGGTTGTCTGTCGCTTTGTGTGCGCTTTCTTCCCCTCTCTCTCTCTATCTTTTTTTGTTTTTTTTTTTCTCGTTCTGTCTTTCTCCCTCTGCACACTATTCCAATTAGCTGTAGCCAAAAACCTGACGTTGGCCCAATTGATTGATTGCCAAGTTTTGCCAGGTTGCTGGCTGCCTGCCTGCTTTTACCCTCTCTCCCGTTCTCTTTCACTTTGTCCCTCTGTTCCTTCGTCTCATTCATGCTCCCATTCCCAATTTTGTGCTTGAGCAGCGCAGACAAATGGCATTGCCCCGCAGCAAAATGGCTGCCATCCCCCAAAAGTATGCAAAACTTTTGCAAAGTTTTTACGCCCGAAAGGTCCAGTAGGGTCTACGCATCGGCCTTTAAGTGCCCCAACAGAATTAACACGCCAAGCTGGCTGCTGCTGTTGTTGCTGCCAATGTTGGCATCTAATGCGCCGTGAAATTCTAATGGAATTTCCTAGGTAATTACGCGACTACCAGCCAAAATAGAAAAAAAAAACAGGAGGCATCGTTGTGCGTTTATTAAATTGCCATTGGCACGCCCACAGTGGCATGCCACACGCTGGCTCAGCATTTTGCGAATAATAGCTACTTAACCTTATTTTCAATTTTTGATTTGGCTTTGTGCTCGCTGCACGCACCCCACACCCTGCACCCCGTCGCTCTGCTAATAAAATCAGTCAGTGAGCCGACGGAACAGCTGGAACCAAGTCAGCCAGCAGCAGGAGCCAAGTCAGCACACGGAAGTCATCAGCAGCCTTGTTATCATTGGCCTGCCATGCTCCTGCCAGCTCCTGCCGCCCCGCCATTTGCTCACTCACATGTGCTTCTCTGTGGGCCAGAATAATATAGCGTGCTTTGCGGCGCTGCCAAAGAACCTGCGCTCATCCTTTTGGCTGGTTTCGTTTGGCGCTGATTGCGCCACTGGGAGCGCCTAACTTTTAAAACGCGAAATGGCAAATGGCGAAAGGCGAAAGGCAGCAGCAACCAGCCAACAACAACAGCAGCAGCAGCAGCACCAGCAGCCGAGTCGGTCCCTTCTTCCATGCGCTGACGTCAATTTACAGACACATGGCAAACGCCATAAACAGCCACCACAATTGGAAGCTTGCCATGGCAACAGCACGCGACTTGGCTGCTGCCTCCGCCTGCTACTCCTCTGCTGGCCCGTTTCAGATGGCAGCTGCCACAGCTCCTTGGCTCGTCATAATCACACCCTTTTGCGTCAATGTTTACTTTAATAATGTCGCGGAAAATTTTTATTTTCAATTTTTCACAAGTCAATGGAGTTAACCTGCCACATTTGATGGCACAGTGGAGCAAATCTACGAATTATATTCGTGTTGGTCTGTCTATATTAGATAGATGTGATGGGATCGATTCTTTCATAGTTATGATGAAAAACTTTATATATCTTTCCCAACTAAGCATTTGCCATGTTTCATACATATGTGTAAAATTTTATCAACTCCAGATTACTATATATTAAAACTATATCAAAGCAAAATGGTAAAAACGTTTCTGCTTTTCAAGAAATCTTGATCAGACTTAGCAATAACGATCTACGCATTTCACTAAACTCTATAGTAGCGGAATATTCTCTCATAGCATACTATTAACATTGATCGGAATAAAAGCTTTTGTACAAAGGTCTTCTCTACAAGGGCATTTAATGTATCGACTGGCTGCTCTTTCTTGTTATGCATACACAGCGACATTTGCTGATATAAATAAAAATATCTGTTCCACTGTGCCTTGTCACACTGGCAACGACAATGTAGAACTAGAGGTCGACCCCTAGCAAATATGGCTATACAATATAGTCCATATATATGTTGTGTGCATGTGTGTGTTTCGTATAAATAAAAAATATTTTGCTCTAGTGCTTGGTACGTGGCTGCTGTCGCAGCTATTCTCAGATTGCTGCCTCATCCTTGGCTGTGCCCCTGCCACACGTCCGCCCCCCTTTTGTGTGACAAGTTGGCTTGGCTGACTTTTGTGCGTTGTGTGTTGCCGCTTGTTGTTATTTTGCAACAAATTGGTTATTTTATTGAATTACTCAAGCAGCAGGACGTGTCCCCTACCTCCCCTTCCCACCCCAATCCCACCTATATGTATACCTATATCACCATCCAAGCCTAGCGTATCGAAACTGTTCTTCTAGCCCTTGCCACCGCCGCTTTCTGTGATTATATTGGCCCAAGCATGTGGCGCTGAGGGAGTCGCAAAGTCGCGACTTTGCCGCGAACCTCGGGATGCCACAATGTCAGGACGTTGCCTTTGCGTGTCCTGGCCAAACTGCACGACTGGCTGACTTTCAGCCTGGCTGCTTGGATATGCTTTGCTATGGGTTTTGTCGTTCACTTAAGTAGTTTTGCCGCGTATAATAAATTTTCTAGTTTAAACTCATTTATTGCCCACGACTGGCTGGGCTCCTTTCTCGCCTTCTTTCGGTTCGTGTGAAGGCGTCGAGGCGTCGCCCAGCCAAGCATTGCCCATATAATGGCCATTTGTTGTATAATTTTCACATTGTTTAATGTCCTCGGCAAAAGTAACTCTAGCTGTGTGTGTAGCTGCTTTGGGGCTGCTTTTATTTATGATATATAGATTGGCAATAAAGTTGCTTAAGCAACTGGCAGTGGATAACAGTGGACTTGAGTTTGGGCAGCGGTTAGTGTAAATGATGCGACTGGGGCACGTACACATAAACCAAGCTCAATAATAAGTGGCAAAATTGTGTGCCATGTTAATGGCCGAAAATGGCTTAATTCGTGCTACGAGCTGCGGCTACAAATTGGCTTAAAGGTGCAAAGGCCCTCTACCTGGGCTAATACACACAACTACGCATTGATTTCTGGCTCTTTTAAGACATTTATATGCAAGCAGCAGGCAGCATAAATATGGTAATATATCTACCCTCCTTTAACACCTGCTAAACATTAGTTAATTACCAGAATTTATTGCAATTTGCGCGTGTTTCTAGGTGCACGTGGAGTGTGTTTATTTAGAATTTCAAAATGCCAGCTCACGATAAAATAATATAGAATGGAATCAGTACAAATCATGAAGCATCAAAAGCGTTGCTCAGCTAACTAAGTTTTTGATAGACCCTCAGCTTAATTAATTAAACTTAATACGCAACAATTATGTATAAAAATAGAATACAAACGATTAAATAGTCTATTAATAGATTTCTTTGATATTTAATAGCAGAGGTAATTGAAAAAGGGCTATATTCTGGGACAGAAAAGAATCTGAGCTAATGGAATGCTATTTATAGAACATATCGATTTCTTAACCCTTGACAGCCGCTTTTATTCGCTATCCCGTTGCAAATGCATCCACAGAAAAGAAGCTTAGCTAATAGAATAGAGCATGTATATCGAGTATATCGATTTCTCGTGGTATTCACAAAATTGGCTGACTCTCGTTTATTCAACACACACACACACGCACACACCTAGGCAAGCACAATTGGCGCATTTATTGGGGTTAAACTTGTGCCTCAACAGCTAAACTGTTCACACAGTTATTTGCAACACGTGTCGTGTGGCACCCAAAGTGTGCTGACAATTAGAAAAGTTGCCTGTCCCCCTATGCCATATTATCCATGGCAACGGCAAAATTTACCACCTAATTGCGACATTTCTCACAGCTAATCAGTTGAACTTTTCGACAAAAGTTTCTTGGCACATTTTCGGCTTATGTTGCATCAGCTTATGCCACAAAGAGCAAATCTGCCGCGTTGGCCGCATTGAAGAGACATCAAGGATGTCGCTGGGAAGGATACGCCATACGACATAGTGTCAGATAAAGTAAATATTGTGGATTTTTCGATTAGCGAGAAACGTTCCCTATCTCAAGCCCTGCAGCTTAATTTCCTGACGCAAATATCAACATGTCGACGGCGGCGGCGGCAAGCCAAAGAAGATACCAAACAAGCTTGGCCCTAAAGCGCTCTAATGAAATTACAACCTAGACTGAAAGAGTCTTGGAGTGAGGGGGGGGGGGGGGGCTGGAGGGGGCCTGGTGAGTTGCGGTTGTGTGCGGGACACTAGAAAGTGTAAGCCAAAGTGGCAGTGGGAAGTCAAGTAAAACTAAGCTCATTTAATGCGCTGCATAAGCGAGCGAGGAGGCGACTGGCGTGGCGGTGCGGCGGGGCAGGCGGCATTCAAGCACCTACAACGGGAAATAACTGCTGCAACAGCAATAACAACAATGACAGCAACAACTACAGCGAACAACAAACAAGCAGCTCATGACGGTATTTGCAGTTTTACGTGCATCCTGAGGATAATTTAACGCCTCGTACAAATGCAAACAAATGAGCGCGAGCTGCAACACTCACGCACTCACAAGCCGACAGACACACACACACACATAAGTGTGCTTAAAAAAACATTTATTTACTTGCAAGTAATACCCGTTAATGGGTTTTTAAAACAAATCCGCTGCGGGCCTGTAAATGAAGCTCCCGGCGCCCGGCCAGGCGCACTCTGCTCCGTTTATCTCGTCTGGCAATTAAATTTCAAATATTAACACAAGCGCATAAGTGCAAAGGAAGCAAAACAAAAATACTAGAAAGAGAAAGTAAGCGTGAGAGAGAGTGAGAGCGAGAGCGAGAGAATGGCATGTGCCATTACATAGTTAATTAAACAAACATTCTGCGCTGATAAAACGTTTTAATTAATGTTCTCATCGTGCCGACTAACGAGATGCCGTTTAAAGGGCCAACACCTTTTTAAGTATACAAGCCAATACACTCACCGCGAGTCTCTTGATTACACCATTAAACTGGAATTGGTTTAAGCAAGCGTTCCAGTCAAGCTTAAGCTAAACTCATCCTCCATGTTCACTTTGTTTACATATCTTTAACATTTGCCGTCAGCGTTCGCTTGAAGGTAATTAATTGTAAATGTTTGCCAAGCTAAACGTTGGACACGGCTTCATTTAAGCATTAAACTTAATTTATGCGTTTAACCTTTTATATTACAATAAATGGTTTGTGACGCGCGGCGCATTCATCTAGTGTATTTCCATTGGGTCTATCTGAACCCTGACTCGCTTCAGTTAACATTTCATTATTTTTCTTTGGCCAAGTCCACCGCTCGCTCAGCGTGCGATTTTTCAATATCCCGTCGGACAAACGCCCATTTTGAATATGCTGCCAGATCGCCCGCCCCCCTGCCGCTCTAGTTTGGCTGTGTTCGATTCTCTGCCATGTGACACATGGTCTCGTGTTGAAGCTCCATAAAATATGCAATGCATGCAGTATGTCAGCGCTGTTCGCATTTTTCATTCAGCCATAACCCGCAACCACATCCCACCCCCACCCTTGCCCTCCATCCTGCCCCTTACGCAACCCTACGCCAGCGGGTTTGGGTGTTTGCAAGGGCCCAAAAGTCATTCCCTTTCCTCCTCTTCTTCCTCTACATTTTTTTTATTTGTCAAGCCCATTGTATGAAAAAACTATCAATAATGTGCCAGGCCCACGTCACCCACACCGGCATATACATATAGATGAGCATAAAATGTTTTGCCTTATGACTTTTTATGCAGCACCGCGCGCGCATCGCACGGGCCACCTGCAAATATTTTAATATGCTCCGCCGAATGCGCGCTGGGCAACAAAAAAGACCAACAAAAGTTTTTATTTGAGGGTTTACCAAAAAAAAAAAAAAGAGAAGGAATATATACATATTTACCATGTGGGTTCGACCGTTCTCCCAACCCCTTCGACTTCTGATGTTTTTACGTTTCACTGGGATTTTACGTGGTTTCGCATATTGCATAAAGTAGCCAAGTTTTTAAGCTCTTCTGTTTGGCTGGTTCGCCCTTCTGTTTGTTGTTTAGCTTTAAAGCCCGCTAAATGGTCGAAATCAACCTTATGGCATATCCACATATATACATGTATGCATTATAGCTGGTTACTGAATGGCAGGTTCAGCAGGTATCATCGTGGCCGGCGTCCTTATTCACACAGCTTCAATCAATTGGAATTTCCATTTCACTGAAAATATTTGAATATTTACGCATAACCCAAGCGTTGCCTGGGGCCGTATTGGGCATAGGGTTTGGGGATTGATTGTGGGTTCCAATTTGGGATCAGCACATTGACCAAACGTGGCGGTTTAGCCTGTTGCAGGTGACATACACATACACACACACACACACATACACACATGCGCGCACACGCACACGTTCACTGCAGGTGGATATATAATAATATTGAAAATTCATTTCATTTATATGTTTGCCAAGTATTTGCCCGAAATGTGCAATGCAATTATTGTTGAGGTTTTTCCATTGAATGCAATATGCAAATGAATTGAAACAAGTGGGAAAATTGTAAGCGCGTGTGCTCGACAAGCAGTTGGCCTGACTACACAAATACCCATTACTCTGCAGTTGGCTTCAAACTAAATATATTTCTAATTTTTTTAATCACTTTAAAGTGCTTGGTTAGAAATTTTGTAATTTAGTATCATCTTCTTATGGGCACATCCACAGGGTATACAAATGTTTTGTGTTGTGGATATGTAAAATATTTATGAATATTAACAAGCGAGTACCAGCAAGCAATGCAATAAGACAAAAGTGTTTAATCAAATATTAAGTTTAATATATTTAAAAATTAAAATAATTGCATTTGTATTTACATTTTAAGCCGGAATTCATTTAAATTTTAGTCCTCTTACTGATTTTCCTCTGGGTTTTTGTTGACTTTCTATTAGTTTACAAAGGTCCCCTATGATTGCCACTGCCAGTGCAGCTCTGCGGGTAACGTGTTGTAGCAAACAGCTTCTGACAACTGATGTCAAACGCAACGCTGTGCGAAGCCAAGCAACCACTCTCTCCTTCTCTTTGTCAAACCCGCTCCTGTCTCGGTATGAGTGTCAAGCTTGACATGCAGTTTGGCACCCTCTTTATGCGTCTCTGCTTTTGACAGCTTCTGACAGAGTTGAACCAAAATTCCAGCAGTTCAGTTTCCATTTCTTGCTCTGATTGTCATGTTAGTCTGGAATGTACGTGCATCAAGTATCTCTTATATTTTCTTTTCTCCTTTCTTTTGTCCTATCTTATTTTTCACTGACATTTTTGTTGTTTTTGCTCTTTGCAGATATAAAATCGAAGTAGCCGGCAAAAGTCTTCCTGTGCTGACGAATCTGGACAAGGGTCGCTATGGCGTCATTGTCTTTGAGAATCTGGACAAGTATCTCAACATGGACAAGTGGAATCGTGAATTGCTGGACAAGTATTGCCGCGAGTACTCCGTTGGCATTGTGGGCTTTGTCAGTCCCAGCGAGGAGACGCTTGTCGGTGCCCAGCTGCGCGACTTTCCGCTCTTCGTGCACACGAATCTTCGTCTGCGAGATGCCAGTCTGAATCCCGCTTCATCTGTGCTGCGTCTAACGCGTGCCGGCGAAACGGCGTGGGGCGCCTTACCCGGCGATGATTGGGCTGTGTTTCAGCATAATCACAGCACCTACGAGCCGGTCGAGTGGGCGCAGCGCAACACACAGGAATATCCGGCAGACAGTGTGGGTCAGGTGCAGCTGCCGCTCACGACGGTGCTGCAGGATCGCGGACAGCTGGATGGCATCCAGCGCGTGCTCTTTGGCAGCAGCCTACGTTTCTGGCTACATCGTTTGGTCTTCCTGGACGCGCTTAGCTATCTCAGTCATGGTCAGCTGAGTCTCAGCCTCGAGCGCATGATTCTGGTGGACATCGATGATATCTTTGTGGGCGAGAAGAGCACACGTCTGCGCCCGGATGATGTGCGCGCTCTGATTGCCACGCAAAAGATTATTGCCGGCATGGTGCCCGGATTCCGTTTCAATTTGGGCTTCTCCGGCAAGTATTATCATCACGGCACCAGGGAGGAGAATCTGGGCGATGATTTTCTGCTGCAGAATGTGCAGGAGTTCAATTGGTTCTCGCACATGTGGAAGCACCAGCAGCCGCATCTGTATGACAACCTCACCCTGCTCATGGCTGAGATGCAGCTAAACTATGCGTTCGCAAAGGAGCATAATATACCCACAAATTCGGGCTACTCCATATCGCCGCATCATTCGGGCGTCTACCCAGCACACGAGCTGCTCTACCTCGCCTGGAAGCAGGTTTGGAATGTGAAGGTCACCTCCACGGAGGAGTATCCACATTTGCGACCCGCACGCTTGCGTCGTGGTTTCATCCATCGGAATATTATGGTGCTGCCGAGGCAGACTTGTGGGTTGTTTACTCACACCATGTACATAGATCGTTATCCGGGCGGGCGGGACAAACTGGACGAGTCGATACAGGGCGGTGAGCTGTTCCAGACCATCGTCTACAATCCCATCAACATATTCATGACGCACATGTCCAACTATGGCTCCGATCGCCTAGCTCTCTACACATTCCAATCGGTCATCAAGTTCCTGCAGTGCTGGACAAATCTGAAGCTTGCCTCAGCACCGCCCATACAATTGGCTGAGATGTACTTCCGACTGCATCCAGAGGAGGTCGACCCAGTGTGGGGCAATCCCTGTGACGATGCGCGTCACAAAAAGATCTGGTCCAAGACCAAAAACTGTGACTCGCTGCCCAAATTTTTGGTTATCGGGCCTCAAAAAACGGGCACCACCGCCCTCTACACATTCCTCTCCATGCACGGCAGCGTTGCCAGCAACATACCCAGCCCGGACACCTTCGAGGAGGTGCAGTTCTTCAATGGCAACAACTACTACAGAGGCCTGGACTGGTACATGGACTTCTTCCCCTCGGAAACGCTGCCCAACACCAGCTCCCCCATGCCCACCACACTGGGCACACCCCGATACATGTTCGAGAAGAGTGCCACCTACTTTGACGGCGAAGCGGTGCCCAAGCGGGCACATGCTCTGCTGCCACATGCCAAAATTGTGACCATACTGATATCGCCAGCGAAGCGCGCCTACTCCTGGTATCAGCATCAGCGTGCCCATGGCGATGTTATAGCCAACAACTATAGTTTCTATCAGGTAAGCGCCCTACTGATCTATATAATCTGTATCTAAAATCTGGCATCATTGTTATTGGTCAAAATTCATGTTAAATTGGTACCCTTAACTATCCTCTATGGACATAGGTAAAAATTTCCTTCTCGCATTACTCGGTCAAATCTCATCAGATTTTCAAGAGGCTTGGCTTTTTCTCCATGGTTTGGCCTCTAGATCAATTTGGCATTTAAATCTGGCAACATAATTTTTGGTCCAAATTCATGCCAAAATGGAACCCTGAAATATCTTATACAGACATAGGTCAAAATTTCCCACCCCCAAAACTCGATCAAATCTCATCAGATTTTCAAGAGGTTTGGCTTTTTCTCCATGGTTTGGCCTCTAGATCAATTTGGCATTTAAATCTGGCAACATAATTTTTGGTCCAAATTCATGCCAAAATGGAACCCTGAAATATCTTATACAGACATAGGTCAAAATTTCCCACCCCCATAGGTCAAAATTTCCCACCCCCATAACTCGGTCAAATCTCATCAGATTTTCAAGAGGTTTGGCTTTTTCTCCATGGTTTGGCCTCTAGATCAATTGGGCATTTAAATCTGGCAACATAATTTTTGGTCCAAATTCATGTCAAAATGGAACCCTCAAATATCTTATATAGACATAGGTCAAAATTTCCCACCCCATAACTCGGTCAAATCTCATCAGATTTTCAAGAGGTTTGGTTTTTTCTTCATGGTTTGGCCTCTAGATCAATTTGGCATCTAAATCTGGCAACATCATTTTTGGTCCAAATTCATGTCAAAATGGAACCCTGAAATATCTTATACAGACATAGGTCAAAATTTCCCACCCCCATAACTCTATCAAATCTCATCAGATTTTCAAGAGGTTTGGTTTTTTCTTCATGGTTTGGCTTCTAGATCAATTTGGCATTTAAATCTGGCAACATCATTTTTGGTCCAAATTCATGTCAAAATGGAACCCTCAAATATCTTATACAGACATAGGTCAAAATTTCCCACCCCCATAACTCGGTCAAATCTCATCAGATTTTCAAGAGGTTTGGGTTTTTCTTCATGGTTTGGCCTCAAGATCAATGTGGCATTTAAATCTGGCAACATCATTTTTGGTCCAAATTCATGTCAAAATGGAACCCTCAAATATCTTATACAGACATAGGTCAAAATTTCCCACCCCCATAACTCGGTCAAATCTCATCAGATTTTCAAGAGGTTTGTTTTTTTCTTCATGGTCTGGTCTCTAGATCAATTGGGCATTTAAATCTGGCAACATCATTTTTGGTCCAAATTCATGTCAAAATGGAACCCTCAAACATCTTATATAGACATAGGTCACAATTTCCCATCCCCATAACTCGGTCAAATCTCATCAGATTTTCAAGAGGTTTGGCTTTTTCTCCATGGTTTGACCTCTAGATCAATTTGGCATTTAAATCTGGCAACATCATTTTTGGTCCAAATTCATGTCAAAATGGAACCCTCAAATATCTTATACAGACATAGGTTAAAATTTCCCACCCCCATAACTCGGTCAAATCTCATCAGATTTTCAAGAGGTTTGGCTTTTTCTTCATGGTTTGGCCTCTAGATCAATTTGGCATCTAAATCTGGCAACATCATTTTTGGTCCAAATTCATGTCAAAATGGAACCCTGAAATATCTCATACAGACATAGGTCAAAATTTCCCACCCCCATAACTCTGTCAAATCTCATCAGATTTTCAAGAGGTTTGGGTTTTTCTTCATGGTTTGGCCTCAAGATCAATGTGGCATTTAATTCTGGCAACATCATTTTTGGTCCAAATTCATGTCAAAATGGAACCCTCAAATATCTTATATAGACATAGGTCAAAATTTCCCACCCCCATAACTCGGTCAAATCTCATCAGATTTTCAAGCGGTTTGGGTTTTTCTTCATGGTTTGGCCTCTAGATCAATTTGGCATCTAAATCTGGCAACATCATTTTTGGTCTCAATTCATGTCAAAATGGAACCCTGAAATATCTTATACAGACATAGGTCAAAATTTCGCACCCCCATAACTCGGTCAAATCTCATCAGATTTTCAAGAGGTTTGGGTTTTTCTTCATGGTTTGGCCTCAAGATCAATGTGGCATTTAATTCTGGCAACATCATTTTTGGTCCAAATTCATGTCAAAATGGAACCCTCAAACATCCTATATAGACATGGGTCAAAATTTCCCACCCCCATAACTCGGTCAAATCTCATCAGATTTTCAAGAGGTTTGGTTTTTTCTTCATGGTTTGGTCTCTAGATCAATTGGGCATTTAAATCTGGCAACATCATTTTTGGTCCAAATTCATGTAAAAATGGAACCCTCAAACATCTTATATAGACATAGGTCACAATTTCCCATCCCCATAACTCGGTCAAATCTCATCAGATTTTCAAGAGGTTTGGCTTTTTCTCTATGGTTTGGCCTCTAGATCAATTTGGCATTTAAATCTGGCAACATCATTTTTGGTCCAAATTCATGTCAAAATGGAACCCTCAAATATCTTATACAGACATAGGTTAAAATTTCCCACCCCCATAACTCGGTCAAATCTCATCAGATTTTCAAGAGGTTTGGGTTTTTCTTCATGGTTTGGCCTCAAGATCAATGTGGCATTTAAATCTGGCAACATCATTTTTGGTCCAAATTCATGTCAAAATGGAACCCTCAAATATCTTATACAGACATAGGTCAAAATTTCCCACCCCCATAACTCGGTCAAATCTCATCAGATTTTCAAGAGGTTTGTTTTTTTCTTCATGGTTTGGTCTCTAGATCAATTGGGCATTTAAATCTGGCAACATCATTTTTGGTCCAAATTCATGTCAAAATGGAACCCTCAAACATCTTATATAGACATAGGTCACAATTTCCCATCCCCATAACTCGGTCAAATCTCATCAGATTTTCAAGAGGTTTGGCTTTTTCTCCATGGTTTGACCTCTAGATCAATTTGGCATTTAAATCTGGCAACATCATTTTTGGTCCAAATTCATGTCAAAATGGAACCCTCAAATATCTTATACAGACATAGGTTAAAATTTCCCACCCCCATAACTCGGTCAAATCTCATCAGATTTTCAAGAGGTTTGGCTTTTTCTTCATGGTTTGGCCTCTAGATCAATTTGGCATCTAAATCTGGCAACATCATTTTTGGTCCAAATTCATGTCAAAATGGAACCCTGAAATATCTCATACAGACATAGGTCAAAATTTCCCACCCCCATAACTCTGTCAAATCTCATCAGATTTTCAAGAGGTTTGGGTTTTTCTTCATGGTTTGGCCTCAAGATCAATGTGGCATTTAATTCTGGCAACATCATTTTTGGTCCAAATTCATGTCAAAATGGAACCCTGAAATATCTTATACAGACATAGGTCAAAATTTCGCACCCCCATAACTCGGTCAAATCTCATCAGATTTTCAAGAGGTTTGGGTTTTTCTTCATGGTTTGGCCTCAAGATCAATGTGGCATTTAATTCTGGCAACATCATTTTTGGTCCAAATTCATGTCAAAATGGAACCCTCAAACATCCTATATAGACATGGGTCAAAATTTCCCACCCCCATAACTCGGTCAAATCTCATCAGATTTTCAAGAGGTTTGGTTTTTTCTTCATGGTTTGGTCTCTAGATCAATTGGGCATTTAAATCTGGCAACATCATTTTTGGTCCAAATTCATGTCAAAATGGAACCCTCAAACATCTTATATAGACATAGGTCACAATTTCCCATCCCCATAACTCGGTCAAATCTCATCAGATTTTCAAGAGGTTTGGCTTTTTCTCTATGGTTTGGCCTCTAGATCAATTTGGCATTTAAATCTGGCAACATAATTTTTGGTCCAAATTCATGTCGAAATGGAACCCTGAAATATCTTATATAGACATGGGTCAAAATTTCCCACCCCCATAACTCGGTCAAATCTCATCAGATTTTCAAGAGGTTTGGTTTTTTCTTCATGGTTTGGTCTCTAGATCAATTGGGCATTTAAATCTGGCAACATCATTTTTGGTCCAAATTCATGTCAAAATGGAACCCTCAAACATCTTATATAGACATAGGTCACAATTTCCCATCCCCATAACTCGGTCAAATCTCATCAGATTTTCAAGAGGTTTGGCTTTTTCTCCATGGTTTGGCCTCTAGATCAATTTGGCATTTAAATCTGGCAACATAATTTTTGGTCCAAATTCATGTCAAAATGGAACCCTCAAATATCTTATACAGACATAGCTCAAAATTTCCCACCCCCATAACTCGGTCAAATCTCATCAGATTTTCAAGAGGTTTGGTTTTTTCTTCATGGTGTGGCTTCTAGATCAATTTGGCATTTAAATCTGGCAACATCATTTTTGGTCCAAATTCATGTCAAAATGGAACCCTCAAATATCTTATACAGACATAGGTCAAAATTTCCCATCCCCATAACTCGGTCAAATCTCATCAGATTTTCAAGAGGTTTGGTTTTTTCTTCATGGTTTGCCCTCTAGATCCATTTGGCATCTACATCTGGCAACATCATTTTTGGTCCAAATTCATGTCAAAATGGAACCCTCAAATATCTTATATAGACATAGGTCAAAATTTCCCACCCCCATAACTCGGTCAAATCTCATCAGATTTTCAAGAGGTTTGGCTTGTTCTCCATGGTTTGGCTTCTAGATCAATTTGGCATTTAAATCTGGCAACATAATTTTTGGTCCAAATTCATGTCAAAATGGAACCCTGAAATATCTTATACAGACATAGGTTAAAATTTCCCACCCCCATAACTGGGTCAAATCTCATCAGATTTTCAAGAGGTTTGGTTTTTTCTTCATGGTTTGGCCTCTAGATCAATTTGGCATCTAAATCTGGCAACATAATTTTTGGTCCAAATTCATGTCAAAATGGAACCCTCAAACATCCTATATAGACATGGGTCAAAATTTCCCACCCCCATAACTCGGTCAAATCTCATCAGATTTTCAAGAGGT